TATTTCTCTCTCAAGAATAAACTGATGACGACTAGCAGATTAGTAAAACAATTTAGTAAATCATTAACGTGTGTGTGGTGACATTTTCCTGCTGGAATATACACAATCTTTGTTTAAAAAACAAAAAAAACAAACCTGTGACAAATCAATGTCGTGGGCCATGCTTTTCCAGACTCTTTAACGTGACCTAAACAAAGAGACAATTTAAGACTGTCCTGAGGCACAGGAGCTGAAATCTATAAACAGACCGTGACGAATCGGTAACTTAATGGGGGTAATTATTGGAAACTCGTATCATGTGTGTTAAAATCTCGTAAACAAAGAAACGTTTAAAAAGGGTCTCGTTTGAGGATCTATGAATAAGGGACATTGTAGTTAATAATGCCGTTGTTCCCGTGAGCCTGTGACATCCAACTCTGATACCTCAGTGTGACATCAAACACACAGACTTATGGAAGCTTTTAATTCATATTGTGAAACCCCATTTTCACATATTGAAAAGTTCAAATTTAACATGTCAAGGTTCAAAATTGATTAATCTTCATATTACACCCCCGGAGGTCATGTGTCAATGAAGGAATTCCACATATACTAAAACCATATGTCATATTGACAGCCGGAGATCATTAAAAGGTCATAGGTCAACGTTGGAATTCCAAATATGCTAAAACCATATGGCATATTGATATGTGGAGATTATTAACAGGTCAAAGGTGAACGCGATGTGGGTGGTCCGAGGTTGTGGGGTCAAACCCCTCAAGGTCAAAGGTCATCATCAATCAAAAAAGTTGACAGGTGCCCCAGCATATTTACTACAAGTGTGCATATGATTATTCTGAGCGAGCTGAATAAAGGGAAGAGAGTGGGGGAGAAGGTACAAATGTGTGAAGGAATGGGCATTTAAAGTAAAACGTAGTACTTTCATTAGACTTTTAATAGGCCATGTTTACATATCACTTACATATCGGAGGTTGACGTCACGCACTCTAAACTCCACCATTTTGGCAGGCAATCAGGAGAGCGCTAGAGCATTGGTATGGACAGTTGTACAACAATAATTTAAAACCAGACTATTTAGACCTTACAAACCTTACTATTTCAACATGGTGGACAGCTGCTGTGCGCCAGAATGCCAGAACAGGCAGGGGAAAGCTAGGGTTGCCAACCGTCCCGTATTAGCCGGGATGTCCTCTATATTGGGCTTAATTTATGTGTCCCGTACGTTGACCTCCCTTGGCCCGTTTCTTGCCCCCTCACACAGTATTCGTTAAGTAAATCAGAAAATCCTGTACATAACTGTTTGAGGAAGGCTGCAGAATCCTCTGCTGGCTGATCGCTCCCGCTTTACAATTAAGCGGCACTCGCGCTAACGCCAATTCCGTCCGTGTTTTGACTTTGGTAAATCAGTTTTGGCAAATACTACGTGATTATTTTTCATGAGTCCAACATCCCGCCGTGCAAGAAAACAAAATAAGGGAAGCCGTCTTTTATTGCAAAATAGAGAAAAAACATTTTACATTTAAGTAAGCTTCTTAACCTCGTAGTCTATCTTATTCGTAAAACACACAAAAAGACCAATAAAAAAAAAGTGTCAAGCACCAAAAGCAGCCCATATTATATCCGAGTCTCCGGGGTAACGTTAGGAGGGAAAGTTGATTAGGTAACGTTAGTTGTAGATATCAGGATACTGCAGGTCAGGAAATCTATCCGTTCCTTTATTGATAGGCTACACGCTTAATTTATGTGTCCCGTACGTGACCTCCCTTGGCCCGTTTCTTGCCCCCTCACACAGTATTCGTTAAGTAAATCAGAAAATCCTGTACATAACTGTTTGAGGAAGGCTGCAGAATCCTCTGCTGGCTGATCGCTCCCGCTTTACAATTAAGCGGCACTCGCGCTAACGCCAATTCCGTCCGTGTTTTGACTTTGGTAAATCAGTTTTGGCAAATACTACGTGATTATTTTTCATGAGTCCAACATCCCGCCGTGCAAGAAAACAAAATAAGGGAAGCCGTCTTTTATTGCAAAATAGAGAAAAAAACATTTTACAAGTAAGCTTAACCTTGTAGTCTATCTTATTTGTAAAACACAAAATGACCAATAAAAAAAGTGTCAAGCACCAAAAGCAGCCCATATTAAATCTATAAGTTATCTTTAATTCAAAAATACACATTTTCATATATATATATATATATATATATATATATATATATATATACAT